GTGGGCATGTGTGATGGAAAGTGGGGTGTGAGCTTCATTCGCAGGGAATAAATAATGGGAACTGTGTTTCATCAAATTGAAGAAGAATAAGAATGTAATCAAATGTCAGCAATCAAGAGCTCTACCACCTGGAAAAACGATAGAAAATCACTCACTGTTCCAATAGCAAAACTGGATTTACAGTGTGGCTGTACTGGGAGCCACGAACCAGCACTCAAGATCCAGCCACTTAGATTCTGCCCAATACTGAGGTGGACTCAAGACAGAGAACAATAATAACTTATTATTATTACATAAGAATAATTTAAAGAAATAAGGGTAAATAAATAAGTGTAATTTAAAGTTGTAATGTAAAGTATACATATCTAAAAGGAACAAATAGAAAAAGGAGTACACAAGTGATTTTGTTTTTTTTATTTTTTATTTAAATTAGAAACACATTTGTTTTCCATGTCAATTGCAGTTCCCTTTCCCTCCCCTCCACCCCTGCTCACCACTGAACCCCTGTCCCACCCCCTCTCTGCTTCCCAGGGAGGGTGAGGCCTTCCATGGGGATCTTTAAAGTCTGTCATATCATTTGTAGCAGGGACTAGTCCCTCCTCCGGTGTTTTTGTTTTTTAAATGTATTTATTAATATGCATAGTGATTTTCCTGCATGTACACCTGCACACCAGAAGAGGGCACCAGATCTCATTATAGACAGTAGTGAGCCACCATGTGGTTGCTGGGAATTGAACTCAGGACCTCTGGAAGAGCAGTCAGTGCTCTTAACCTCTGAGCCGTCTCTCCAGGCCCTAGTGCACACTTGTCACCCAGCACTTGAGATTGTGAGGAAGTGGATTATACATTTTATTCCACCCAGATGTGCACAGTGAGACCCTGAACAGAAACCTTCCGACATTTTGAGTATGAAGAAACATTTCACATAAAAATGCGAAAAGGAATAAAGCAAGAACACATGAAAGTTTGTATTTCTTCCGTGTAATGTTCATTCATGTCTGCTACCACCTGGTCCTGACAAAGATGAGGACAGATGAGACAGACACTGGTGGGATTTTGGAAACAACATCCATCAAATATTGATGGAGTCTACTGCAGGACCTGGACAGAGCCTTGGGGAAGTCACAGCCTGGTTCCTGAAGAGGGCAGTTCCCCTTCCTGTGGGGCTGCTGAAGCACAACCATGTCATGGGGAGGGCCCTGCCTCCAGAGGCCACACCCTATGTCTCCGGCCCCTTCAGACAGACTCTGTAGCTCTGCCCATGAGCACAGTTGCAGCCTCCAGGAGGAGACGCCATGACCGTCGTCTCCTTCACAGTCCTGCTCTGTCTGGGTGAGATGTGGAGATGGGGAGGGATGCTGTGCTCTGGGATTGATGCTGCCCCACAGCCCAGCAAGGGTCAAGTTAGGAAACCCCAGGGTCTCAGGAGGTTCTGCAGAGGGGAGGACCTTCTCAAGATTCAGGGACAAACCTCTCACAGGGAACTCTCTTCCAGGGCTGACTCTGGGCCATGGGACACCAGTGCTGTCAGGTGAGTGAGTGTCTGCAGATGTCCTGACATCACTTCTCATCATTCCTGGAGCCATGCTGGGTTTGGGGGTGGCAGGTGAGTGAGTGTCTGCAGATGTCCTGACATCACTTGTCATCATTCCTGGAGCCATGCTGGGCAGTGAGGATGAAAACTAACACATGTGTGCTACCCCTGGGGAGGGCTGAGGGTTGGGATCAGGGGCTGCAATCTGAGTGTGGATGTCCTGGGTCCTAGCTGATCTTTTCCTTGCAGGAACTCTCCCTAAGCCTATCCTCAGAGTACAGCCAGACTCTGTGGTGTCAGAGCAGACTACAGTGACCTTCTTATGTGAGGGGACCAAGGGAGCCCAAGAATACCGTCTGTATAAATTGGGCTATTTCATGAACAAAGAAATTTCACCAAATCCTAACAACAAGGCTGATTTCTCAATAAAAAATTAGGCCTTTATGAAGCAGGGGAATATATGGGTCAATATTGGACCCGTAATGGATGGTCAGAGCATAGTGACTCCCTGGAGCTGGTGGTGACAGGTGAGAGAACTCACTGAGTCCCATCCTCATGTTTGTCTTCTCTCTACACAGGAATGGCTCTCCTCACCTCCCTGGAGGATAATGCGGCCTTTATTCCTTCTTCTCTCCTAGGGGCCTACAGTGAACCAGGCCTGTCAGCCAATCCCAGCCCTGTGGTGACTGAAGAAGGGAGTGTCAAACTGCAGTGTGTCTCAAGCCAACCACATTATAAGTTCATTCTGATTAAGGAAGGACCACAGAAGTTCCCCTGGATACTGGACTCAGAGTATGACCGATCTACTCAGCAGTACCAGGACCTGTTTTCTGTAGGTCCTGTGACCTCCAGCCAAAGGTGGACATTCAGATGCTACAGCTTTGACAGTAATAGACCACTGGTGTGGTCAAAACCTAGTGACCCCCTGGAGCTTCTGCTCTCAGGTGAGGATGCATGGATTTTCCTTACAATGGTGTGTTCTATATGTGAGGAGCCAGGGCTACTGAGCCCACTGTCACAAATTGGAGGAGACAAAGGGACACAAGATACAAAATTCAAGGGACACAGTGACATGAGAGTCTAGGAGATCCAGGAAAGAGAGCAATCTTCATGGGGCCCTCTGTTTCTGTTACTCTGGATCAGCTTAAATAAAATCCACCAGAGCTCAGGAAACTCCACAGAAAAGAGAGAGAGGCACCTTTATTGGTGTAACACACTGTATTAAATATGCAAGGTCTTATCGAGAGAGAGAGAGAGAGGAAGAGAGGGAGAGAGAGAGAGAGAGAGAGAGAGAGAGAGAAGATTGCAAGAGCCAGAGCACTCAGGACACCATGAGAACACAGCCCACAGGATGAACTCAGCAGGGATCATGAGGACTCACAGAGACTGAAGCAGCAACCAAGGCTCATGCTTGGGTCTTCCCTAAGCCCTCTGCACACAGGCTGTGCCGATTTACCCTGGGGTCTTTTCTATTTTTTTCTTTAGAGGCCCTGCCTGTCCTGAAACTCACTCTGTAGACCAAACTGGCATTGAACTCAAAGACATCTGCCTGCATTTGCCTCCTGAGTGTTGGGATTAAAGGCTTGCACACCACTGCCTGACTAGCTTGAGATTTTTGGTAGACTCATAACAATAGGAGTCTGGAAGTCTCTGATTCTTTTGCCTGCACAGGAGAGCTTTTCCCTACTACTGTGTTGCTTTCTCCAGACTTATTAGGAGGGTGTTTGCCTAGTCTGACTGCATGCTGTTATGTCATGTTCCATTAATATCACTGGGAACCCTGCTCTGTTCTGAAGGAAAACAGAGGAGCCGTGGATCTGGGGGAGAGGGATGGTGAGTGGGATGCTGACAGAGTGTATTTTTGACAGAAGCATAAATTAAATAAAAAGTGTGTTCTGCAAGTGTGAGTATCCTGTGTCACTTTCATGTCGCGTCCACCCTTGACCAGCAAGAACGACGCAACACAGAGGAATCTTCTTCAACACAGTTTAATCGGGAACTTTATTTACAGTGAATGGCGGCCCCGGGTAGAGGAAGACGGGGCCTGATATAGTCTACATCTACCAATCACCTAACCCTACGTGGTGCGCCAGGATTGGTTGTCTCCAAGCAGAATTAAGAGGATACATGACCTTTACCAAATTAGGAGTTGTTTACCACAGAGAGCACTCACTGTTGGGCTGGCGGAAGGTGGAAACCGGCGCCAACTTTTGGTACTTTGCAGCTCCCAACAGTTCCCCCTTTTTGTTTTAATATTATAGGAGTAGCAGTATCTATCTGTTGTCAGATTTCAGTCATCTCTGTCTTAGGTTCAACCCCAGTGTCCCTATCTTACCCGACAAAGAGTCACTGTGTCGCCCTCACAGGCTCATGTCTTAGGTTGAAGGGAACACATGTATGCTTATTTGCTCAGCAAGAGGGTAGGTGCCTGTTATTGAGCATGACTGATTCAGATACGCATCACTCAGTAAGGGCGAGACAGACATCTAATTGTCTGTCAGCATGGATAACCATGCTTGAGGGGACTGTCCTGCTTCCACAGCAGCAAAGGCCTGTACCAACAT